ACCCTACAGTGCTGCAACCCTCAACAGGAGTATGGCCGTGCCGTTGTATGCGATGCCTCGCCTGAACCTAACCTCCCACCACCTACCTTTGGACTTGGCTGCCAGATACTGCTGGTAAGCGGGAGAACTGTGATACGCCTCAAGAGCCTTAGTGTATTCCGCCTGCAAATCAGAGGATGTCAGCACACAACTTACCCAACTGCCACTCTCAATATGTGGTTGGTATGGGAGCACCATTCTCACGGCTATGAGAAACAATTATGATTCAACATCATATCTTGAATCATAGTAATGAAGGCTCTTAACACAAAAGAGCACTGTACATCTTAATATTAATTCTTCATGCATCCATATCCGGTATTTGTTATGTTTTCATTAATAAAGACTGCCTTACATTCATAGATTAATTTCATATAATACACTATAAATATATGTATATATACTGATAAAATCTACAACATCCTAAAGTAAAGAAATAAAAAAAATTTACATGAAAAGGCAATACAACATTCAAAAATATATGAAAGAAAATTCTAAGTTGCAAATGCAAGACATGACACCAAAAAAGTTAAATTAAAATCTAGCAACTATATTTTCTGAAACTGCCACATCTGGTTTCAAAAAAAAATGATAAACTCAAAATTAAGTGTTTCATTAATAATTACTACAGTAGTATGAAAATGAAATAGCTGGGCAGTTCAAGAAAATCTGTAATTTTTATTTGCCTATGTTAGAAACAAATTACTGCTTATGTTTATACCACAAGCTCTACAAGGCTTCCTCATACTTTAAATGGATGAGAGGTTACAAACATGACTAATGTAAGCAATGTGAAGGATTGTTTTCTTCCAATATCTATGCTAGTTTGAAATAAACATTTACCTATATCTGTATTAGTCAAATATTGTTTTGCAGTGTTACAGTATGCATCTTCAGCATCAGACACTAGTTAGAGCATTTCAATTCCTCCTCATCAAAGTCCTAGAAAACCCTGTAATCCAGTAATCCTGTGGCATTACGTAAATCCACTACCACGGGTTATGTTGGCAAAAAGATGTACAACAATAACTACAGCAGTTCCCTCCACCTTGTACTCTAGACATGCAGTTTCTGGGTATTTAAACTACTATGGTATACTAGTTAAATAATAACATGGTAAAGAGATTAGTAAAGATGGGCCACAGATGGCTGGTAAGTAGACAAAACCCTATATTTGTATGAATATGATATAATGAATTCAATCTTAAAAGCAGAGAATTTTTTTTTATAAATCATTTATGAGCTTAGAAATATTTCACTACATTAATGACACTTTTGGTTTACAAAAACCCTCTTCCACACTTCAATGATTTTTACTATTATTATTATAATTATGGGGAAGTTCTAAACCTATACTGTACAGTCCTTCAGTGTCAGGGAAATGGGAGATAGTCAGATTTAATCCAAGGACAGGGAAGGGTAGCTCCAATTCCTTTGATAATTAGGCTTTCATTGGCATCAAAGTGCACCTCCCTTTGAAGGGCAGAAGATAAATAACATACAAATATTTTATTATAAATTGTGAAATGCAACCCTTCCTTGAACTCTCTAATAACTAAAGCCTACTAGTATACTAAAAAAATTCTAAGACAGTGTAGGTTTGTCACCCTCAAAAAATATAAAATGAGAATTTACATGATTCCACTTGTAAATGAAAATTATGGAAAGATTTGTGAAAAAAAAGTCTGTACCAAAAACCAAAAAGGTAAAAATGTATAATATTATTAAGCTAATAAAAACCTGAAAGACAATAAATCTGCATGTGCAGCAGGTTATCACTTGGGGATATAGAGTGAATTTTAATCTTCTACAAAACTACTGTTAACAGATGCAGCAAACCTTTAATTTCTCATATGAAGTAGCACAACATCCCAATTCTCCACAAATAAATTACTTTGGCAATTCCAACTTGTACACACATTTCTATCAAAACTATTGCAACAATCCAATTTTGAGTGTATTTCTGCATTGAGCTGTGAATCAAGTCAACATACAAATGTGTACTGATATTTCTCTCCACAAACATAAAACTGCCAAGATAAGTTCATTTATCACAATGCGACGTCCACATTCTACTGTTTCATGAGACAAGCCTACTAGAAAACAATGTTTTCTATACAAGGCCTAATTATCAAGTGCAAAAACAGAAAAAGTTTTTAGATGCATCTAAATTATTAGATACTACTTAATCAGGCATTTAAATATGCTACTAAATAAATATTCAAGCTCTTTGCATTAAAATGTACTCTACAACTGCAGTTAAATATTTTAAGTAAAACTGAAATTTTACAATTAAGCAAAATAGAAATTGCACAATGTTAATATTGTATCAATTCAGCTAACATGTTTATGTGGTAATACAATTTTTATGGAAATTTCTAAGTAATTTTAAACAACAATCAACTGGAGTCAAGTGAAAAGTCTTAAGGAATTTCCTTGAAGAAAGACGACAACTTCATGAAAGCAGACACTAAAGGTATCTCCTATTTTTAAAGTAAAAAACAAACAAAAGGGGATGGAGGGATGAACCACTGATGTACACCTGACTGGCTTCAATTCATCTTCTCTAGTGTTTCATAATTTTAGTTATCATAAACAATTTAAGCCATTGACAATGTTTGCCACTGAGCTCTTGCTTGTTGAAGAGAAGATTCCTTTGTAAGTCATGATACAATAAAATACTGTACTTAAAAAATACAATGCCTACATAGCTGTTTTATTAGAAGTTTTTAAAATTTACTCACACAATGACTGACCTCAAGAACCATAACCACAATTAATTTGTAGGATTTTGTAAGATGCTATCCGTATCATTAGTCAAGTTTTTTTAATTCAATGATTTGTGGTTAAAAAAAAAAATACTATTAATTACTGCTTTATGTTTTTCTCTACTCCCACCAAAGTAAAGTGACCCAGAAAAAGAAATAAATATTCACCATCATTCATTCAGTAGCAGTCTTGCTAGAAGTGCTGACATCAACTGAAATAGCTGATAACACAAATGGACAACAACTTATTATAGGTTATTGCTATACATGTCTGACAAAATAATTTTGTAAAAAAATCGTAAGTCTTAATTATTTTAATTTATAAATATACTGTATATTTAATAAATAACAAGCAAATGAGCGCAGTAAAATCATACACAAAAGAACCGACTGACTTAATCCACCCAGGAGATCTACCGGTGAATGAATTCAAACTTAATGGGGATTAAAATTTAAAACACTTAGATGATACATTAATCTGGGGTAGCAAAATCAATAATGAAAGACAAAACAAAGTAATCTGGCACCGTGAAAGCCACTAGTGAAAAGTACGAGTGTGTAGCTGTGAGTAGGATGCTGACAACAGTTTAACAACCTGGTGTATATTTAATCAGTGATAGGTAAAAACAAAAGCTTATATCTTGAGGAAGGATTAAAAAAAATATATGTACAGACCTACACTAGAGAAATGTGAAAATAATTCCAAAAGCTCAAGTTCATGGATAAAGTGGCACACACACACACACACACATACGCACACACAAAAAAAAGTAGTAGTGGTGCAGCACAGGAAATCAATGGTGTCAACAAGGTGGAGAGGCAAATCACAACATAACTGGTTGTGTGTAGCTTCATCTAGTGAAATATCCTGTTTGGAGGGTGTCAGTGTCATCTATATCAATTTGCAAAGACAGATGACAAACTTAAAAGTAAATACAAAATAATTTACTTGTGTATCATGGTAATTATTAGAGATTAGGAGGAACTCGGGAGTTTTACCTAATGCAGCCAACTAAATTTTATTATATAAAATTAATGAAATTTAATGTGAAACGATCCCTCAGTGATATGCCAATTGACATAACAGAGCACAATATATCTGATGATAATTCTGTGTGCTATCTGACAGAACTTATATTTAAAGAAATACAAGTTCAAAGAACCAAAGTTCAATGACATTTACATGTACGGTAACTATAATATGCAGTCATAAAATTGGTGCACTTTAAAAATTAAGAGTGTACTGGGAAAAGTAACACATGCAGCGGGATTTTACAGATATTACAAGAAAAATATAACAATATCGTATGTGCAATGAAGACTGATCTGATGTGAAAAAATCACGATACAAAAATACACTTTTATTAAGATAACATTTTGTGTGTAGATCTTTATTAAGTCATGATTTGATAAAGCTCTAAAATATGCAAAATACTATCCCAGTAAAAGCTTGTTCTGCAATATATTTCTCTTCTTTACTATTATCGGCAATATGTCACTTAGATCGTGAAGACTGCCCTATTACTATCTAAAGTAAAACTACACAATATAAGCTTGAAAAGAGCTAATAGTTCACCCCCAATTTTCTTGTCAAGATCTTATTTTAAGAAAATAAGCTACATCAATCCAATAAAATTAATAACTAGCCCCTCTGCATATACAGCACCTTCTTTCTGGTGCTCCACATTTTCATTGGCTTCAAACTGAGCCATTTTTCATCATGTTCCACCTGCCAGTAATTTTTCACTGGTGGGTGGAACAATGGCTCAATTGAAAGCCAACGAAAATTTGCAAGACTAAAAAGAGGTGCTGTACATGCAGGGCTCTCCTGTATATAGATCAGTATGTACTGGATAAAATAGCGAAGCAATGGCATTTCCAAACTAACAACAATTATCTTGTGAATCAAATGGGGAGAACTTAGCATCAAGATAATAATACAATTTCTATGTTTTTTATTTTTTCATACACTGCTTATTGCTTCACCCCTTTCCCCTCCCCAGAGTATCTTTGCGTTAAAAAATCCCACTATGTAGTGTTACTTTTCCAACATTATGAGCCACAAAGATAGGTGTGGATTCTATTTTTTAAAGGGTCCACTGATATAGTAATCATATTAAACTGAATGTTATCTTCTCACAATCCACAAAATCTTAAGTCACACTGAATAAATCTCATATTGAAGGAATTTACCTTCTCCGACTCGTACTCATCAACAAAATCCTGCTTGTCCGCTTCAGGTAGATCTCGCCACATAGACCCAATAATTTTGCCAATTTCCCATAATTTGAGATCATTGTTTGCAGCTTTCACTTGATCCCAAACCTGAAACACAATAAGGAACAAATAATTATGTGAGAAGCAGGATGCTGTTAGAGTGAGCTCTAGGAGAAAAGATGAATGACTGCATTATCAAACTCTAAAAAACAGCTCATGAAGTAATGTCATGGCATATTCAAGAGTCTCTAAGTGAGGGGAATTCATGGCATGAGTAGATGCAATGCCATTATTTTCATCCATATACAGTATATAAGAAATTAATAAATTAATCACTAATTTTTTATCAATATCCTTTAAACTTCAAGATATACTGTATTAAAATATTTCGTATCAGTAAGCAGTGTTTGAGCCAGGTCGTGATCCCATAATTCTGTTCGTTAATTTCACAATTTAGAGTATAAATAAGGAGCGTGCAACACAGGTATCCCCCCTAATTTGCCAGAAAGTTATACAAACTAAATGGGCCCCAACTGCCCACCAATACAGCCTCTCCTCACTTAGTGACGTACTCGTTTACTGACGCCTCGGACTTACGACAGGCTCTCTGACCAGTATTTACACATAAATAATGTACATTAGGGCTGATTTCCTCTATTCTGTTTATTTCAATATACCGTACACTAATGTATATACATTTAAAAATATACCAGAAATGTTATAAATGGTGCAAAGGTGACAGATGGTCGAGACAAACCCACTACCATTATAGTAAGCTCCTCACTTAGCGACAAATTCGTTTAATGACGTGGTCTTAGGAACGGAACTCTGTCGTTAAGTGAGGAGAGGCTGTAATGCGACAGAAATTGTCAGTTGACGTTTAATCACATCTCATCCCAATGTGGACCATGGTCTCACACACTGTAAACTTCACCCACCACCACTTGTTTTGTTGCTTTTAATATAGCAAAGCATTTATGCCCATATTTCAATACCTAGCTCAAACACTAAGTAAAATAGCATTAAAGAATGGAAAATTTAGAAAAAATCAGATTTTGTATTTAAGAATAGCTCCTATTCCTGTATTCAACTCTAATAATGACTGCCTGGGCAAAAAAAAAAAAAAAAAAAAAAAAAAAAAAAAAAAAAAAAAAAAAAAAAAAAAAAAAAAAAAAAAAAGGTAAGAAGTGTGGAAATGAGTGCATGTGTGAGGGGAAGTGTATACAGTTAACAGAAATTCTCTTACCACTAAATTTTTATGCTCTTCTGGCAAGTCTGTTATTTATAACCAACCCTAAAACCCTTCTCTTGATGTTTTCAAGATATTACTACACAATTTTTGTATTTAAGAGGCCCATTTCCATTACGAGACTTTTAAAATCAAACTATATTATCCACTCATCATTAGCTGCTCGTTATACTTAGAGCTTTTTGTAGGATTTTACATTCATGGTGATCGTATACCTGGCTTAAAACTTTTACATCATCTGCATATTTTTTTTTTTTTCAATAAGTCGGCCGTCTCCTACCGAGGCAGGGTGACCCAAAAAAAAAATACTTTCAACATCATTCAACACTTTCACCTCACTCACACATAATCACTGTTTTTGCAGAGGTGCCCAGAATACAACAGTTTAGAAGTATATATATATAAAAATACACAATATATCCCTCCAAACTGCAAATATCTCAAACCCTCCTTTTTGAAGAGCGGGCCCATTGTATTCCATTTCAGGACTAAGTCTGGTTATATAAAATAACCGGTTTCCCTGCATTTTTTTTTTTTTTTTTTTAACAGTGGCGTCCTCCCACGAGGCAGTGGTTGACCAAAAAAAAGAGAAGAAAATCCCAAAAAGAAAATACTTCATCATCATTCAACACTTTCACCACCTGCACATTATCATGTTTTTGTCAGAGGTGCCCCAGAATACAACAGTCTGGGAAGCATACACAATAAAGATACACAACATATCCCTCCAAACTGCCATTATCCCAAACCCCTCCTTTAAATCAGGCATGTACTTCCATTTCCAGGACTCAGTCGACTTATGAAAATAACGGTTTCCCTGAATCCCTTCACTAATATTACCTGCTACACTCCAAAAGATCGTAGGTCCCACAAGTACATTCGTCTCCATTCACTCCTATCTAACACGCCACGCACGCTTGCTGGAAGTCCAAGCCCCTCGCCCACAAAACCTCCTTTACCCCCTCTCTCCAACCCTTTCGAGGACGACCCCTGAATCCCTTCACTAAATATTACCCTGCTCACACTCCAACAGCTCGTCACGTCCCAAATACCATTTGTCTCCATTCACTCCTATCTGCATATACGTTCATATATATTTTTATTCCTTTAGATAAGTGCTTTATGTTAATTAACAACACTACTGGGGATGGTCCTAACCCCTGTGGAATACTACTAACTAGTGTCTGCCACTTAAAGATATCTTCCCTCTCATCACCATTTTCAATTTTCTTCAATAAGTTACAATTTAGTTAACATACTACTTATACAGCATTAAGTAGTAGTTGGATTAGTCTAGGTCTAGGAGGAACTATTATCAGTTTTGTTTTTTGAAGTATAAGTACTATACTGTAATGGAGACAACTCTTTTTTTTTTTTGTGCAACTTCCAAAATTGTAACACAAAATTAGCAAAATTATCAAGTAGTTGATAAAGGCACAAGTAGTTATTAGAAACCATTTAAGACAATTTCTTGTTTGCACAGCAGGCTTTTTCCATCTGCTGCGCAAGCAAAAGATTTTCTTAATTACAGTTCCAATTAATAATCATGTCTTTATAAGCTACAATTTGTTGGTAGTCCCATACCATCTACCATTACAAGCTTTATATGCTTTATATGTTAGCAGGTTGTTTCTCTTCAAATAACTTGCTCAAGTGTATCCATTGATATTTTTTCAGTGATTTACAATTACAAGCAGAACGGAGAAAGGTCTAAATTTTAAAACATCCCTCATGTACCTACCTCCCATCTTATACAGTAGCAAAATGCTATTGTTCATTTGTCAACCAATTTTCCATCTTGGAGGGTAACTGTCAATACAATGCATATATGGTGTCTGTTAAAAGGGATCAAAAGCAAACTATCATATAACCTATTACAAAATAAAAAGCAGAAATCACAACCAAAAACTCTAGCTCAAGAAAACACACACCACCCCTACTGTAAATATACAAGCCATATATTGTTCACTTTACTTTTTATTACCTTGAACTATCTTGCAAATCCAGACTAAACAGTCATCCCTGAGAGTTATAATAGCTGGATGCTCAACTCCCTACCACTCAAAAGCCACCCCCTTTATTCACTCTCAATAATGGTTCCTAGGACAACCTCTACCCATTCAACCTTCCACCAGAAATATGAATTGCTCCCTATCCTCTTTAAATATCCTAAATACCTCAACAACCCCTACTCAGCTCTTGGTGACCCCACTCCAGATTCTCTACACAAGATTCACACTACACACTGTAACATTCAAAACCTGCCTCACACCCATGAAAAAGAGATGGTGACATTATATTTTGGTATTTTTTTTTTTTTTGCATCTATTGATGAACATTTCTTTCCACAGATGCCTCAACACATCACCCAACTTTACCCTCTCCCCCTCATCTATTCTATGATTCTTATAATTCTTATCTTTCACAGATCTACCTGCTAACAAGTTTACTTCCAAATACTGTATCTGAATACATGCACATCCTCTATACTCCCTCCAATCTGATATCCAATCCTTCATTGCCTAGACTCTTTGTCACTCTTATTATCTTGCTCTTTTGTCCACTCACTTTTAATTTCTTTCTTTTACATACCTTCCAAAAATTGTCCACCAATCAATGCAACTTAGCTTCTGAATCTTCCAAAAGAACTGTCAATGGCAAAGCAACTGTGACAACTCCCACTCTCTATCAGATTCATCACCTTTTAATCCCACAGAAAACAGTAAGCACCACCATAGCCAAAATCCAGGTTACTGAACAAACTGATTCTGCTAATGATTTGTTTGTCTGTGGGAATGTGTAGATACTTTCATCTGCAATTGTAAGTTAGACTCATAGCCCCATAAAGTATGTTAACTTCAGCTTCATAGCTCTGATCTCCACACACCTTTTCTGTCATAGAATGCCACAAATATGTTAAAACAGCCATGGTGACATCACATATTTCTGTTTAAGTTCTATTTTTACAAGGATATGGTCCCCCTCTCAACTACATATCCTAACCTGAGCCTCACTATCATGAAAAACTCGTTTAGCTACCTACCACCTATTCTATACATTTGCAATATCTGTAGGCAAGTCTATATGTACATAACCCAATCACATGCAAGCAAGCACATAATAAATAACAGTACTGTATTTATAATAGCAACAACCCATTCACCACTGAGATTACAGTTTCAAACAATGCAGTCTCTCTCTGACTGCAGAAGTAAGATTCCCCACTGGCCAGCAAATTTTTAATGTATACATTCCAAGTTATACTCAGACATCTAAAAACTAAAGAGGGAAAATTTCAGTCCAGTAGGTGCTGCCATTTGCCACCTGGAATGAAGATTTACTAAGCCCTATTTGTAACTACAAGGCCATACATTTCAAGTCCATTTCCATATACAGTAAACCCACTAATTAACAGACTAATAGCGACAAGGGGGGTGCACATTATTGCCGACTGTCTGTAGAATTCGAATAACAAAATTTATTTCTCATGATAACAAACGGACAAAGTTCTGAATCAGTGGACCTAGCCTAGCAATTCATAAGACTACCCAGCACAAAAAATGTGGGTAATGTTACCTGTAGTACTTGAGTAGAGGACTGTGTAGTAATTTTATAGAATGTAATATCCAGCAATTGTACGTACCTTTTTGTGGTGGAGAGATGAAGTCTAAACTGGAGTACTCAATAGTGGTGACTCAGAATAAAAGTTATTCTGAGTCAGAGGAGCTGTAAAGCTCTACTAGCACCTACACTAAACTTAAGAACATAGTCTGTGAGTTTGTCCTTGCATCTACAGATATCAGGTACAGTTTCTTAAGACCACTTTCCTCATATGCCCGTGCCAGTGAGTTGAAAGTTTTTGTTTAACATTGAGAATCACACATTTCCTCTTGGCAACATCACTTGCTTTAGAAGCCATTGTTAATTGCACATTACTTAATAGGTTAACAAAGTCACACAAAACACTATAAATCCAGGGGAAAATTGAAGAATGAATGACAAGTGTACGTGTGAATGAGCACCTATGGCTTGGGAACAATAAAAACAATTACGTCCTGGATGAGCACACTGGCCCATACCAAAAAAAAAATGTCGGAATCATTGAAATAGGTCTGGTGATTTAGAATATAATCAGACACTATCACTACAGATAAAATTCCGGAATTACACACTTTTCATTTTGTCCAAGGATTTCAATGTTCATTTGACCAATTTTTTTTACTGTAATTTCCAAAAACCATTAAATGGGTTTGTTAATTAGAGGCTTTACTGCATTCTATTTATACCACAAATAAGACATGGATACTGTACCAGAAAAGAAATTACAAACTTACACATGCCCTAAAGTACATGTGCCCACATTTACTAATGCGGAATTCTGGAAACACTTAAAATTTTACAACCACAGAGTTGCACTATGAATTTGTGAAACCAAACCAGGAATGCAACTCATTTGTAAGATGAGATTTCTTATATATAGTATAGTGAAATAAGTTGCAAATTTATTCACCTCACACAGAAAAATAGTGACCCACCAATGAGTATACAGCATAAATTTATCAGGTACTTGCACTAATAGATAACAATGCAGACAAGGAGGAACATTTTGCATTACAAAAGTTGAAAAGTTGAGTAAATAAGCTTTTGCTTTTTACCCAAAACGTATATTACATTAATTTTTTTTACTGAAGTGTCACAAGCACTGGTGAAAAGTGAGAAAGCACTTGGACAGAAAAATTGAAAGACAGAAATAAGAGATCTATTTATTTTAATTTGAGGCTGAAATAAATATACAGTATTTCTGTTTTACCTGTGTTTCAGTTATCTGTCTCTGACTAAGGTTACAGTATCTCTTTTTACCTGTGTTTCAATTATCTATCAAAGTACTGGGGTCCCTTGCTTTATGTAGTACAGAAGTCATTCCAGGTCAGCTTTACTCTGCATAAAAATCCTCAAAATGCTTTACAAACTGCACAGATTGCATATGATAGATGTGTGTATAGCACATATGGAATTACTAATGGCAAATTTACATAAAACAAACCTACAAAGAGAAAGGGGAAAGCAGTACTGTAATTAGATTTGGCACAAAGTGAGGGTAGCTCCAATTTCTTGGATCAAGAGCCCTTCACCAACATCAAAGCACCCTTTTCCCTCAAAGGAACTCAAAATGAAGATTTGTAAAGACTGAATTATTAACAATTTGTGTAAACTTGTGGGTTTCTGCATACAGTACTGTACTGTAAATACAAAATAAGACTTAAATTTGTGTTTTAAGACAAACTAAGGTGGGATAACATTTGGCCTGATTTGACATAACCTGGGTAAAAAGTTTTCACATAATAAAAAAAAAATTCATTATCTAACAATGATTTTATGAAACCACATGCTAGACTGAAACTTTAGTAACAAAAAAGTCCATATAAGTGGTTCATTTTTCATAAAGGACACTTGTTGGGAGCCAAATGAGCAATAAAAAACTCATCACAGGCTTTAACAAACTTTTTTTTTTTTTAGTTTTTAATAACTAAATTTAAAGAGATAGTCTACTTTTCTTGAGAGGAAAAATAAAAGAAGTATGATCAGAAATTCTTATTTGGGAACCATCGTTGATTATCAAGATAAATTAAACTAAAGAGTAACACTGTGATATTTTTGGTTCTGGACAAAACACAGTTACAGGGTATAGATTACAGTATTTAGAGACACAAGTGTGTATCCATTTAAAAAAAAAAATTTCCTTGGATCAAAAGCCCATCATCAACAGCATCAAGGCACTCACCTTCAAGGGTCTTTACTTTATAAAACCTTATGAATATAATGCAAGTGTTCTGATGTATATGATACAGCAGTACAAATTAATCCTTGAAAATTTTTTACAATTTGTAAAGTATTGTACACATCTTGATGAACCTATGGAACATGTGAAAGACAACAAGCTTACCTTTTGAAATTGACAATCCAAACACACATGCTGTCAAGATTTCAAGACAAACAATTAGCCTGGGCATATCAGATGGCAGTCATACTTAGAGTTTATGATACACAGTGAAAATTCAAGACTAGGCAAATTATATCATTAAACCTATATCAGTGGGTGATTATGACATTAAAGCTCTGACACAAATAATCAGTCTTTCCTGATTTTGCATTACCCAATAAATAATCCGGGTACATAACTCGCACAACAATGATGGATATTCGTCATACCTCATCAGAACAAGCGATTGTGAGAGACAAAAGGCTATAAACATGAAAATGCAAATTAAAAATATTGCTGTAAAAATGAAAATAAGCATAACCCAGTTCTCCTTATATTCAAAGCTAGGCATCAAAATTTTGTTATTTATATATATGGATGTTCTGTATTGGGTATGGTGGGCTCTTATTTGGTGTTAAAAAATAACTGGTAAAAAATACGTCTTTTTAAATTACGAGTGTTTGAGGGTAATGTTCCAATATTTTTCAGAACATTAAAGGTGTAATTTTGTCTCTCAACCTTATTATTACATCTGCTCTTAATGCTGGCACTTGTTAAGGCACATAGCAATGTGAAAGAGTTAAAGCAGAAGCAGATTCTTTTGCTACATGTACTAAGTGGCCGCCATGCCACAAAATACAAATGCTGCATCCAGACATAACACTAATGCAATGACCAAAAATTTGATCACCAACTACTCTTGTACATATTATAATGTACATACTATAATCATGAACATCCAATGCCTCCTAGTACCCAACATATTGTACTGTACATAATATAAAACAATATACTCTACCAGTATTTGAAAGAGGACAACTACACTCATTGATAAGTATCATTTGAAAGTACAATTTGAAAGAGGACATCTACACTCATTAATAAGTACAGTACCACATCATGTTCCTACCCACCCTTCCCAAAGTTTTATCTTCTTGTGAACCATATTTATTTATTTATTTATTTTGGACCACTTTGCTCCAACAGTTATGAATTGTTGATGCTAAACTGTATGCATGTATGTAAAACATTGTGAGAGTATGCTACTGGTTAATTTTAGTTAACCAGTGCTTACTCAATAGCTTCTTGCATACCTTACATTCCGACATGCATAGATTCTAAACCTGGCTTGCTAAAGAGGAAACTGAGAGGAGGAGGAGATAGAGAGGAAGAAAAGGATGGTAGGAAAGAACAGAAGGAATAGGGAAAGACAATAGGAGGAATTTATGAAGGAGACATGGAGAGGATGGAATGAGGGAAAGAAGAAAGGCAGTAGAGAAAGGAAAGGATGAAAGGAGAGAAAGAAATAAGAGACAGAAAGAGAAAGAGGGTGAGAAAGAGAGACAGGGAAAGAGAAAGAAAAGGAGAGTAAAAAAGAAAAGAGAAAGAAAGAAGAAAAAGTGTGAAAGAGAAATAGAAAAGAATGAAATAAAGAAAGAAAAAGAGAGAGAGAGATAAGGAGGGAAAGAGATAGAGAGGACAAGAAAAAGAGAGAAAAAAGAGAAAGAGATAAACAAGAAAAAGAAAGAGAAAGAAAGAAAGAAAGGAAAAAAGAGAAAGACAAAAAATAAAAAAGAAAGAGAAAAAAGAAGAAGTGAAAGAAAAAAATGAGCTGTTGTAGGTAACAGCTCTTAGCATGCCAATAAAGTTAGGGATCTTTAACCTAACCTTATCAAACCCTGTTAAAAAAAAAAGTGAAAGAAAAAGAGAAAAAAGAAAAAGTGAAAAGAAAAAGAGAAAAATAAAAAGTGAAAGAAAAGAGAAAAATGAAAAAGTGGAAAGAAAAAAAAGAATGAAAGAGAGGGGGAGGGAGTGAAAAGAAAATATAGAAAAAGAGACAGATGTAGAGAGAGAATATAGAAAGAGAGAGAGAGAGAGAGGTGCAGAAAAGGAGAGACATATACATAAGAGACAGATAGAGAGTATGGGGAAGAGGGGGGGAGGAGGTTGGAGGAAGTGAGGGGAGGGGAGGGATGGATGGGGATGGGGGAGTGGGGGAGGTGGGCATTGGGGAAGGGAGGGAAAGAGGGTTCTTTTTATAAAATGCAAGAATAACTAAAGGAAAGACAAAGAACCTTATTGAGAAGCAAAAACATATTTTATGATTTCAGAGATATAGGGTTCAAGAAATATGTCAAGACAAATTGCATCCTATATACTGAATTGGCAATATCTTGTAGAGTAATATATACAAATAATGAGAGAGAAGACAAATATATTTCTAAGCTCTTCTACAGTTTAATACATCTTCAAACCAGAGCAGGAATGACTGTGATAAAATATCACAAACCATCAAGACACGAATCACAACATACCTTGCGAGAATACCTCATGTAGGGCATTAAAGGCTTATCAGGTGCTTTTGGAGGTTTTGGGATTCGTCCCTCGCCGCTTTGCTGAAAAAATATTCATTAAAGAAGATAATGAAGTCTGCACTTTATTAACACACTGAATACTAATAAACATCCTTGAAGAACAAACTTGTAAAACTCTACAGTCAATGCTGTTTACACTCAAATCAATAATTCAAGAATAACAATTAAAGGACTCTATAAATAAATTATGTGACAAATTAACAAAGTAAATTCCCTTATTAATGTAATTTTAATATGTATTTATCCCAATACGGCATGTAAAAATAATACAGTGGGAAGCGCAAGTTTTCAAAAATTTTAGTTCACCCTTAAACTGTCCAAACGTAGATCTATGTTTGCTCGCATAGAGCTCTGAACGTAGATCTACGTTCAATTTTACATGCTTTCTTATGTAAAAAAAACATAGATCTACATTTGGAGCACTGCGTGAGTGAACCCTAGATCTACGTTTGGACAGTTAAAAGGTTAAACTGTCCAAAAGTAGATCTACGTTTACACACGTAGCGCTCCAAATGTAGATCTACGTTTTATTTTTCATTCCTCCAAATTTGGTGCAATATGCCTGAGTTGCCTAGACATGAGAGAATGGGTCTACACCCTAAGTGTGTGCAGTATGAAAAAAATCAGGGACACTGGGATACTGTGTGGTAGCACTGGTTAGTTTCAGCTCCATCTTGGGTTAACATCATGGCAAACCCGTGATTCACTCACGCCTCGTCGTATTAACACACTACTATTCTCAGAAAGTGTAACAGAATGTGAAGTTAGTGAATTTGACACCGATATAGCCACTAATGTTCAAGGAATTAGTGAAACTTCTGATGATAACCCAGATGACCCTCAGCCCATCACCTCTGGGGTGGCCAGTTGTGGCCATACAAGACCCTCAGCCCAGTACCTTTGGGGTTGCTAGTGTTACTACCCAAAAGCAACTCCGCAAGAATAAATTATCATTTTCCAAGCGTTATGATGTTGACGATAGTGAAAGTGATATAAGTGATGATAAGGAAATCAATTTTATGCCCATAGAGGATTCGTCGAGTGACAGTGATTATTATTATTCCCCAGTGAAACTTACTTTTAGGCTTGTAACCTACATTCAGGTAGTGTGCCATATGCAATCGGTGGCAAGAGTCGTGGCAGGTCACGATCCAAAATTCCAGCTAGTGATAGTAATCACGAAGGTGAATGTGCTGGGATGGAGGAAGAGGAGGTTGGTGGCATGGTGCGTGGACCTCGTGGCACAGTGGGTGGCCAGACAAAGGACTGCCTGGCACCCCCTCAAACATGTGCTGCCTTCACTCCTGTCTCTCCTCCTCCTGCTCCCCCATGCCCCATGCCACAGGTCCACCCTGCACCATGTGGCCATGAATGGAACTGGACAGAAAGTACACCATTCATGCCACATCCTTTCAATTTTGATGCCAGTGGACGCGGTATCATGCCACACTCTCCCATCACAAATGAGTCTACAGAGTTAGAATATTTTCAACTATACTTTGATGAGCTGATAATGAACCTGATTGTTGCCCAGACCAACATGTACTACCAGTATACAATGGACAACATAGACATTTCAGAATCGTCACGGCTGTGCAGGTGGAAAGATACAACTGTGGCTGAAATGTATATATTCCTTGGCACAATCATGCTTATGCCACACACATATAAGAACAGTATAGCACACTACTGGTCCACACACCACTTCATCAGTACTCCAGTCTTCCATGACCTCCTTCCCTGCAACAGATTCACTCTGTTGCTAAGAATGTGGCACATCTCAGACAGGAATACGCCAAACCGAAATGACCTCCTATACAAAATCAGGGAATTGTTTATGTATCTGAAGCAAAAATTCAGTGCCTACTTTTACCCATTCAAGAACATTGTTGTTGACGAGTCCTTGATTCTGTTCAAGGGTCGACTGTCATTCAAACAATATATACCAAGCAAATGTAATCGCTTTGGTATAAAACTCTATTGTGTGTGATTGTGAGACTGGTCTTGTGTTGGATGTCATTATCTACACAGGAAAAACACACTCGACGATACCAGGCGCATGTTGGGCATTTCTGGAGATGATGTTCACAAGATGATGCAGCCACTACCTTGGCAAGGGTATACAACTGGTATACAAGCCCTATGCTTGCTGATTTCCTACGTGTGAACAATACTGATATATGTGGAACAGTGAGAAGTAGAAAACACATGCCAAGGTTCACTTGAGGAAGTGTAGTGCAAGCGTTTCATGCCAATGACATCATGGCACTGACATGGTATGACAAACGGGACGTGATGTTGCTGTCAACCATCCACAGAAACGAGATGGTACAAATAGACAAACTGAGCAAGCACAACGATGAACCTCTCGTAAAGCCAGCTGCTGTTGTCGATTATACGAACAATATGCGACTGGTCGACAAGTGGGACATGATGATAGGGTTTGCTGACTGTGCGTGTAGGAGTCGCAAGTGGTATGTAAGTGCTTTTCCACCTTGTGGACATTGTAATGCTCAATGCCTTCAACATGTATGAAATAAAGACATGGAAGCGACGACAATATGTGGAATTCACCCTCAATGTCATCGAGCAGAAAGCGAAAAAGTATGGTACCACACCTATACCTGCCACTCCACAACAGCGACCTGTCACCTCACAAGAAGAGAGGGAAGTGCCCAACCAAATAATTCCTAACTGTCATTGCCTGATACCAATACCACCTACTTCAAAGAAGTACTCTCAGATAAAGTGTGTTGTGTGTGCTTACACTACACAGCGACCCCAAGTGCGAAAAGACACATGATTCATGATTCCAGGTAATCCAGGTAATGTGGGGTGGCACTTTGTATGAATCCATGCTTCTTGGAGTATCATACAGTGGTGGACTTCTAGAGACATAAATGGGACCTGTAAATACCTTGTATATATATGTCAACAATAGTATGTGTTTGAACCAGGTGTACAAATTCATCTATCAGTGTGAACATGTGTGTTTGTGACAGTATGATTACTAATTCGGTACCAAACAAACGTGTCTCAACAAAAATTGGCTATGAAATCAAAAGATCTGCAACAAAACATTATCATAACATGAAAACAACAAAATATAGAAAAGAATTGGAAAAAATTATGTTTATTGTTCCTGCAAGTAGCAATGCTCCATGTTGCCGACACCTCATCATTTAGCACCAACTTTGTGGGCTTATATCAGTAAGTACTGTCCCTAATTTTTTTTTATCCTATACCATTTATAAAAATGCGCTCATCTATAAAAAAAAAATTATTTTTAAAAATATTCGGAGCGTTACGCGAGTGAATGTAGATCTATGTTTGGACAGTTTAAGGGTTAAATGAAAACTGGTTTAAAAAAAATATAAATATTAAAAGTACAGTGGACCCCACCTTACGATATTAATCCGTTCCTAAGAGCTCATCATAAGCCAAAATTATCATTAGCCGAATTAATTTTCCCCATAAGAAATAATGGAAATTAAATTAATCCATTCCTGACACCTCAAAGCATGAAATTTTTTTTTTTACCACATGAAATATTAATTTTAATACACACAAACTGAAGAAGACATGCACAATTACTACTCTACTAAGAAGAGAATACATAATAGTTACCTTTATTGAAGATCTGGTGATGATTGATGGGATAGGAGGAGGGGAGAGTGTGGAAGTTATTGTTTAGAAGGGGAATCCCCTTCCATTAGGACTTGAGGTAGCAAGTCCTTTTCTGGGGTTACTTCCCTTCTTCTTTTAATGCCACTAAAACCAGCAAAAATTATAGGGGGATAAGTCTGTTGAGTGTACCTGGTAAAGTGTATGGTAGAGTTATAATTGAAAGAATTAAGAGTAAGACGGAGAATAGGATAGCAGATGAACAAGGAGGCTTTAGGAAAGGTTAGGGGTGTGTGTGGACCAGGTTGTTTACAGTGAAACATATAAGTGAACAGTATTTAGATAAGGCTAAAGAGGTCTTTGTGGCATTTATGGATTTGGAAAAGGCGTATGACAGGGTGGATAGGGGGGCAATGTGGCAGATGTTGCAAGTGTATGGTGTAGGAGGTAGGTTACTGAAAGCAGTGAAGAGTTTTTACGAGGATAGTGAGGCTCAAGTTAGAGTATGTAGGAAGAGGGAAATTTTTTCCCAGTAAAAGTAGGCCTTAGACAAGGATGTGTGATGTCACCGTGGTTGTTTAATATATTTATAGATGGGGTTGTAAGGAGAAGTAAATGCGAGGGTCCTTGGCAAGAGGCGTGGAGTTAAAAAGATAAAGAATCACACACAAAGTGGGAGTTGTCACAGCTGCTGTTTGCTGATGACACTGTGCTCTTGGGAGATTCTGAAGAGAAGCTGCAGAGATTGGTGGATGAATTTGGTTAGGGTGTGCAAAAGAAGAAAATTAAAGGTGAATACGGGAAAGAGTAAGGTTATGAGGATAACAAAAAGATTTAGGTGATGAAAGTTGAATATCAGATTGGAGTAGGAGAGAAGTATAGGAGGTGTGTATTCAATATTTGGGAACGGACCATCGAAAGCGATGGGTCTATGAAAGATGAGGTAATCAGAATTGATGGGGAAAAATGAATGAGTGGCTGCATTAGAGTCTGGGGATTCAGAGAAAGAACTTTGTCCTTGGAGGCAAAGAGTGGGAATTGTATGAGAGTATAGTTTTACCAACGCGTTACAATTGGTAAAGCTGGGGTGATGATGTTGACAGCGAGGAAAGGCTGAAGACGTTCGACAAAATTGTATGAGGCAAAAGATGTGATAAGAATTAATCAGAGAATTCGTAAAGTTTGGAAGTTAGGAAGGAGGTGCGGGATTACCAAATTGTTTGTCCAGAATGCCATGTTGCCGCACGCATTGAAGGGCTTTTGAGGTGGTTAGACATGTAGAAGATGGCCAATTTTTTTTTATGACTTCAAGAGTATCAGTCGTAGTGGAAGGAAGAAGCGATTTTTAAAGGGTCTGCCTGGAAGGTTGGAGTGGAGGGGATTTATGGAAGTAGGTTTTGTAGGGAAAAGGGTTTAAAAAATGAAACTTCCAGCAGGCATGACCCCGAGCGTTTGATAGGAGTGAATCTAAGACATATATGCCAGTTTTAATACTTGACGTTGCTTTGGAGCCTGTGAGCAAAATGAAATTATTGAAGGCGATTCAGGGAACAAACGCATTTTGTTTACTATGAGTCTGAAGGGTAATACAGTGCCATCTGAAGGAAGAGCATCTTTTAATGAGGATTTTAAAAACTGTATTGAAAGCACCTTCTGGGCAAGACAGGATGGAGCGGAATGATGGTTGAAAGTTTTTCTTTTTCGGGCCACCCTGCCTTGGTGGGAATCGGCCAGTGTGATAATAATAATAAAAATATAAAACCAGCTTGAGAGTCACTTGACCTCTGTCGCACAACAAATCTGTCCATAGAGCTCTGTACCTCCCGTTCCTTCAAGACTTTCCTAAAATGGGCCATAACATTGTCATTGTACAGGTTGCCAACACGGCTTGCAGTAGCTGTGTCAGGGTGATTTTCATCCGTAAAGGTTTGCAGTTCAACCCACTTTGCACACATTTCCTTAATCTCTTTTTTCAATTCCATACTAATTCTCGCCCTTTTTACCACAGGGATGGCACTAGAAGCTTTCTTGGGGTCCATGGTGATTTATTTTGCAGTTACAAGCACTAAAAACCCTCCATGGGGAAGTGGAACAGAATTCTCCGTAAGCCTATGCGTGTTGAGAGGCGACTAAAATGCCGGCGAGCCAAGGGGCTAGTAACATCTTCTCCTGTTTATTACTAAATGCAAAGGAAACTTTCGTTTTTCCTTTTGGGCCACCCGCCTCGGTGGGATAGCGGATGTTGAAAGAAAGCACTAAAAGGCTGGGGATCATGTGAACGTCTATGGTATGCGTAGATGCGTACCGCACTGGTGGTTGTTTAACATGGGCTGAGGCCACACGTAGGCCGCTCTCGACGAATCATAGACAGTTTTTTCCCGTCAGTGAGCAAATTTTTGCTTCTAAATGTTCGTATGGTGGATTTAAGTAACGCAATGCGTTCGTAAGGCGGGGTCCACTGTGTGTGTGATGTATGTGTATGTGTGTATTTGTAACTCACCTAGTTGTGGTTGCAGGGGTTGAGTCAAGCTCCTGGCCCCGCCTCTTCACTGGTCCTACTGTCACTCTTCCCGCTCCATGAGTTCAACTCTCTTAAGAATGTGTATGTTGTATGTATGTATGTATGTATGTATGTATGTATGTATGATGTATGTATGTGTGTGGTGTGTGTGTGTGTGTGTTGTGTGTGTGTGTGGTGTACTACCTATTTGTACCCCTATTTGTGGTGCAGGTCGATCTTAGCTCCTGCTGCCTCACCGGTTGCTACTGGGCCTCACTCTCCGCTCCATGGCTTTATAACGTCTAAACTGTGTATGGTCCTGCCTCCACTACGTCATTCTAGCTTCACTGCTTACACTTGTGAAGAAATACTCCTAATATCTCTCTGACTCATTTGTGTCTTCAACTTCCAAATTGTGGCCTCTTGTTTGTGTGTCCCTCCCTGGAACATCCTGTCTTTGTCCACCTTGTCTATTCCACGCAGTATTTTATATGTCGTTATCATGTCTTCCCTGACCCTCCTGTCCTCCAGTGTCGTCAGGCCGATTTCCCTTAATCTTTCTTCATAGGACATTCCCCTTAGCTCTGGAACTAATCTTGTCGCAAACCTTTGTACTTTCTCTAGTTTCTTGACGTGCTTTATCAAGTGCGGGTTCCAAACAGGTGTGTGTGTGTGTGTTGTGTGTGTGTGTGGTAGTAATAGGTAAAACTGGTCAATTACCAATAACTCATTTAAAATTAAGTCCTAATATTTTCTCTCACACATTTAACCCTTTCAGGGTTTCGGACGTACTAGTACGGCTTACGCACCAGGGTTTTTGACGTACTATGGAAGGCAGGGAGGAGAGAGGGAGAACTGATTTTTGTTTGGAAGGAGAATCCCCCTCCATAAGGACTTCAGGTATCAAAGCCCTCTCTGCTACACTCCCTGTATGCCTGCTACACTCTCTGCCTGCCTGCTACACTCCCTGCCTGCATGCTACACTCCCTGCCTGCATGCTACACTTCCTGTTTCCCTGCTACACTCCCTGCATGCCTGCTACACTCCCTGCCTCCCTTCCATACTCCCTGCATGCCTGCTACACTCCTTCCATGCTACACCCCCTGCTAACCTGGTACACTCCCTGCCTCCCTTCCACACTTCCTGTTTCCCTGCTACACTACCTGCTACACTCCCTGCATGGCTGCTACACTCTCTGCCTGTCTGCTACACTCCCTGCCTGCTTGCCTGCTACACTCCCTGCCTCTCTCCAGATCTTCCATTGTTTATGATCTCTTTTTCGTTAACATGTTCACCCCTTTCACCACATCAGCTTCCTTGATTTGTTCTTTCTTTGCCAGGATAAAAGTGATTGTTGATTTAGATTTCCCATACATCCTGGCAAGTTCTAGCACTTGAACGCCACTCTCATTTTTCAATACTTCTTTCTTAAATTCAATTGTGTTTCTCACTTTCTTTACCAAAAGAACTTTACTAGGAACTTTCTTTGGGCCCATGGTGGCTTATTTCACAGTCACACTTAATAAACAAGCACAAAAACCAATGGATTTTAAGGAAATGTTTGGATGAATGCAAGGAGTATACACTCATTCACCGAGAGACACAGGAAGACTGACTCACCTACGCAGCGGCGTCCCAGTGGGAGGCGGGTTGACATGTATAATACGGCCAATTTTCAAGGCACCGGCCAAAACATGGAACAAAATTTTGGCCCAAAAACTGGCCTAAATATGATTCGGCCAATGAACGCAGTGGTCGATATTCGGGGTTCTACTGTGTGTGTGTGTGTGTGTATATATATGTACATGTATATATACTGTGTATGTATATATATATATATATATATATATTATATATATATATATATATATATATATATATTATATATATATATATTATATATATATATATATATATAATATATAATAATAATATATAATCATTTCTCTTTCTCCTTCTGACATATTAGCAACAAAAACATGATCATTTGTTCTTAAAGCAAGTGCAATTTTTTTCAAACATTTTTTTTCATTATTTGTCCCCAAAAAATTTATGTCAACATAAACCTTACCATATATCACAAACAAAAAAACACATTATTTTTATGCTACCAACTAATATTAATCATTATGAACATTCACATCATTATTATCAGTAAGAATTAGTGACGCACCGATGACTTAGGTTACCTTACTCACCCCTCCCTTCCCAGATCCCATCTTCTGTGGGTTGAAGGCTGGGTTGCCATGTACAGGTGGTGTGAATGGGCTGGGAACATTTGCTTCCCCAACCCCTTTGGAAGAGGAGGAAGGGGTGCTGGGAGTGCGAGCCAGTCGGTCTGAAGGATACACACAATTAAGGAAATCAATCATGGTCAAAGATCCAATAAATAATTTATCTACACATACCAGCTATACATGCAATTCAGTAAAATATGACAGGTATGACTGTATTGTACCTACGCTGTTTCAAAAAACTGAAGACAGTTTACAAAAAAAATAACACAGTTTGTATTAACTGAAGACCAGAAGAGAATTAAACTTTCCAGATGCCTATAATAAAACCTGAATAATAATTAAAAAAAAATGCCAAGAAATATCTTTCCAGTTAAGAGAAACAGTATAGCACCCTCAGGATCTTAACTGGTACACATTCCCTATAAAAGTCATTATCTATATGCTCTGCCATAAAGTGCCTCTCCCTAAAATATATGACAACCATCTACACTAGAAACATTAGGGATGGCATTGCCTATAAGATCATTACTGTATTTAATTTCAAAACTACCTGGGCCAATATTAAACAACTACAGTACTTACAAATTTTGAAGTACTGACAATACACAGAAAAAAAAAAAACAGCAAAAGCAAGCTACTTAATGATGCAGGAACAATGATTAACTGATGAATGAAATGCAAATTCTAATATTATTAAATTAATCAGAATAAGCACTAAACCTGTAGGGTCATACAGTACCTGAGGAAATAGGAGGCAGTCAAATTTAACCCTTCGAGGAGTCCAGAGGCCAAATCTCAGAGTGACAGCCAGGGTCCAAGAATTTTCAAAAAAAAATTTTTTGTTATTTTTTCTTATGAAATGGTAAGGAATCTTTTTCTGAAGGTAATAAAACAAAAGTACGAAATTTGATGGAAAATTAACGAAATTACACTCTCGCAAATTTTGATGCGTCAGCAATATTTACACACTGGTGATTTTGCCAACTTTGACTCCTATTTTAGACCAAATACATTATTCCAGTTGAACAAATTCTTAGCTATTTCACTAGCATTACTTCTATTTTATCGACTGAACACAAAAAATCTCCCAGTCAACTGTTTCAACTATCCAATAAAGTGATTGGAAATTGGTAATTTGGCCAATTTAACAAAGTTCAAAATACTATTCCGATTTCAAAATAGGGTCCAGAATAAACAATGCAGGCATTCCTGGCACTAAACTAACATTTCCTCTGTTCATCAGTTACATTTTCAAGCTTTACAAAAGAATTCCATTTTGATTTTTTATTCACATAATGACTTTTTATTCACACCAAAAAATGGAAGATTTACTGTTATGCATTGTAATAATTGTATAAATATCAGCACATCTGTGAACGTATATCAGACCCACCAGCTGACGTGTATTAGATGCATGACGTCATTTGTTTACTCTTGAACATTGGCAAAAATTGAACATTTCCACTACTTTGAGCTCAGTTTCAAGCCATTTTCAGTACTAAAACTAATCAAAATCATTTCTATTTCTGTAATATATCTTCCATTCTATCAAGTGAGACCAAGAAATAACAAATGCAACTGTAAAAAACATACAAAAAACACCGCAAATTCACTGTTTTAATCCAAAATTACAGTCACAGTTTTTTTTTCTTCATTATGCACTGCGTGCTGCAGGATTTGTTTTATGTGGTGCACACTTACCATATAGATGTACAGTGGACCCCCGCTTTATGATCATCTCCCAATGCGACCAATTATGTAAGTGTATTTATGTAAGTGCGTTTGTACGTGAATGTTTGGGGGTCTGAAATGGACTAATCTAATTCACAATATTCCTTATGGGAACAAATTTGTTCAGTAATGGCACCTGAACATACTTCTGGAATGAAATAATATCGTAAGGCGGGGGTCCACTGTATTCTCTCATATCTAGGCCCAAATTTACCGCTCACAGCTTATCTGAGTGAGTTGAGCTCATGCCGTAGTTCTACTTCTTGGACCCTGGCTTCAAAGCCGTAGATCTATGGGATGGACCCTCAAAAGGTTAACCCAAATCCTGGGATCAGAAATCCGTCAGAGACTTTCGTTGAGGGGCACAAATTGTAATAACCTCACTAATGTCACCAAGGTGAATAGTTTAACTAGTATAGGAAGCAAGTGTAGTTACTCATGTGGAATATATATGGAGACATTCATATTTTTGAATTCCTATCTAAAAAATAGTGATAGTAATACAACAACAATGTACTTTATGAAAAACACGTAAGTAAATCTGTCCAATCTAGCCTCAAATAACAACCAAAACAGATATTTCAAAGTGACCAGGCATCAGGCTTTGAGAAACAGTGATTTGTACAAGAGGGAGGTTGTAGAAATAAAAGGGGGGAGGTGAGGGTTGTAAAAAAACAGAAGGGTTAGTACGAAAAAGGATGAGTTGTACATAAAGAGGGGGGCTGTTAAAAAAGGGGGGATTGTATTGTAGAGAGAAAGGTGAGAGAAGATGATGAGAGAGAGTAGTGAGAGGAGAGAGAGAGAGAGAGAGAGTGGATAGAGAGTGAGAGAGAGGAAGAGAGAGAGTGAGAGAAGGAGAGAGAGGGTGAAGAGAGGATGAGGAGAGAGAGGAGAGATGAGAGAGAGAGAGAGAGGGAGAGAGAGAGGAGAGGAGAGAGAGAGAGAGAGAGGAGAGAGAGAAGGAGAGAGAGAGTGAGAGAGAGAGAGAGAGAGAGAGAGAGAGAGAGGAGAGAGAGGAGAGAGAGAGAGTAGAGAGGAGGAGAGGAGAGAGAGAGAGAGAGGAGAGAGGAGAGAGAGAGGAGAGAGAGAGGAGGAGAGAGAGAGGAGTATGGGGAGAGAGGAAGAGGAGAGAGAGGAGAGGAGAGAGAGGAGAGGGAGAGAGAGGAGGAGAGAGAGAGAGGGGAGAGAGGAGAGGAGAGAGAGAGAGGAGAGAGAGAGAGGAGAGAGGAGAGGAAGGAGGGGAGAGAGAGAGAGAGAGGGAGAGAGAGAGAGAGGAGAGAGAGAGAGGAGAGAGAGAGAGAGAGAGAGAGAGAGAGGAGGAGGAGAGAGAGGGGAGAGGAGAGGAGAGAGGAGGAGAGGAGAGAGAGAGAGGAGGGGAGAGAGAGAGGGAGAGAGAGAGAGGAGGAGAGAGAGAGAGGAGAGAGATGAGAGAGGAGGAGAGAGAGGAGAGAGAGGAGAGAGAGAGAGAGGAGAGAGATGAGAGGAGGAGAGAGAGGAGAGAGAGAGAGGGAGGAGAGAGAGAGAGGAGAGAGAGAGAGAGGAGAGAGAGAGAGGAGAGAGAGAGAGAGGAGAGAGAGAGGAAGAGGAGAGAGAGAGAGGAGAGAGAGAGGAGGAGGAGAGAGGAGAGGAGAGAGGAGAGAGAGAGAGAGAGGAGGGGGAGAGGATGAGGAGAGAGAGAGGAGGAGAGGAGAGAGAGAGAGGAGAGAGGAGAGAGAGGAGAGGAGAGAGGAGGAGAGAGAGAGAGAGGGAGAGAGGAAAAGAGAGAGAGGAGGAGAAGAGGAGGAGAGGAGAGGAGAGAGAGAGAGAGAGAGAGAGAGAGGAGAGAGAGAGGAGAGGGGAGGGAGAGAGAGAGGAGAGAGAGAGGAGAGGAGAGAGGAGGGAAGGAGAGAGAGAGGAGAGAGAGAGAGAGAGAGGAGAGAGGAGGAGAGAGGAGAGAGAGGAGAGAGAGAGAGAGAGGAGAGAGAGAGGAGAGGAGAGAGAGAGGAGAGAGAGAGAGAGAGGAGAGAGAGAGAGGATGAGAGGAGAGAGAGAGAGGAGAGAGAGAGAGGAGAGAGAGAAGAGAGGAGAGAGAGAGAGAGGAGGAGAGAGAGAGAGGAGAGAAGGGGGGGGTAGGTTGTACGAAAGAGTGTGGTTGTACGAAAGAGTGTGGTTGCACGAAAAAGAGATCTGTATGAAAAAGAGGGGTTGTATAAAAAAAAAAAGGGGTTTGTACGAAAAAGAGGAGGGTGTACGAAAAAGAGGAGGGTGTACGAAAAAGAGGAGGGTGTACGAAAAAGAGGAGGGTGCACAAAAAAGAGGAAGTTGTACAAAAATCAGTGGGTACCCATGGAGGAAAATGGAAACTAGCAAAGTGTAATGTAACCAATGTGAGAAAATAATCTAGGACTGTAACGTGCAATATACAGCAGGACTTTATTTTACGGCGTTCCGCTAATACAGCAATTTCAAATTATGCCCAAAACTTGCTATACGACTCCCAGTCTGTCTAATATGGCGTGCCCCACCTGGTTTGTTTACATTCTCTGTGAGCACATCTGTCTACAGTCAACTCTCAACTAACATTGGCATTAAGTAACGGCAATTTCATCTAACAGCGCTTTTTGCTGTAAAAAATGCCTTAACCAACAGTGAAAAACTCTACCAATGACTCCACCACTCAGTGTGCCATTGTTTACAAGCTGTTGCAGTCGGTTTCCACGTGTGCCTCCCATATACACCTACCATCCGACTTACGACCTGCTCGACATATGACCATTCGACTTACAACCACGTTTTCTATGTCAAATTTCTGAGAAATAAACAACTGTCTGTGTTGTACACAGTGTTTATCCTTAACCTTTCAGTATAAAATACAGAACTAACAGCATAAAAAGTAAAGTAAAAAATTAAACAATAAACAATTAAACAATAAAATCAAGTCATTACAAAAATGTAATGTTGATATTCAGTAGTAAGGTTCGACTTACGTCCATTTCGACTTACGATCAGTTTGTCGGAACCGAACTCGGTTGTAAGTTGGATGGTACCTGTATTTTGGATTATTCCACTGTTTTTAGTGCTTGTAACCGCTAAATAAGCCACCATGCGCCCTAAGAAAGCTTCTAGTGCCAAGCCTGTGGTAAAAAGGGTGAGAATTACAATGGAAATGAAGAAGATCATTTAAAAATACAAGAGTGCAGTCTGTATGGCTGAGTTGGAAAGGCAATACTACGAATCACATTCAACCATCAGTACTATTTTGGTGAATAGACAGGCAATCAAGGAAGCTGTTGCTGCGAAACGTTCAAGTATGTTTTCAAAACAGAGACCGCAAATAATTGAAGAGGTAGAGAGATTGTTATTGGTATGGATAAATGAAAAACAATTATCT